CATTGCCGGGTGTGACCCAAAAAAACAAAACAAAACAAACAAAAAAGCAGTGGAGATGAGGACAGAGAGAAGGGAGTACAAGGTTCCTCAAGGTACCAGAGACAGAGCCTGGGCTTGGTTCCAGGGACTTTGGAGGCTATGCCAGGGACCAGGTGCTGGGAAGGTTCTGGGAATGCAGACCTGTGTCCCTTCTCGGTGGGCCTTCTCCCAGAGCTGCCCCCTTTCCACCAATCCAGGTACAAGCCCCCTCCCCTCCTTACCCCCACCCTCGCCCGGAACTTGCTAGAAACGCAGATGCTCAAGGTTCATTCCAGAACTACAGAGTCAGAAACTGGATGTGGAATGGAGTTTTGGGGTGAGCCCTGCCTGCAAAGGTTCAGGGAGACTCTTCTGAGGGTGGGTGTAGGGGTCAAAATGTTCCTTCCCTGCAAATCGGCCCCAGACAATGCTTGCCCTCTTCCATGTCACCCTGCTTCTCTTCCCAGTCTGCAAACTCCGTGTCTTGCTTCCCGCTTCCCTCCTCCCACAGAACCCCAGTTCCCCACCTAGGTCTGCCCAGCAACTGCTCCACTCCCCCTCCAAGCTCACCACCCACCCCCTACCCCAGCCTTGCCAAAAGTCTCCGTTTCCTTTTCCTTTTGTTCCTGCTAATCATTTAATTGGGCAAGGCATTTTGGACGCAAATGAGAGGTTGGCTTGTATGACAAGCCTCTGAGAAAAAAATTGGAAAGTTCTGAGAAATATTATGGAAATGAGAGATAAAACCCGGAGAAATAAGACATCTGGGCAAAGTTTAAAAGGAGCAGGCATGCTCTGCCTGGAGCGAATGTCAGCGTGGGGAGCCGTGGTGACAGTTTCCTAATGCATCGGGAACGTGCCTAGGAGAAAAGGGATCCGTTTCTCCACTCATCCACATCAGTGAACAAGCAGGGCCAGCTCAGGTTTCAGCCGAGCAAACATCTGTCACGGGTCTGAGCCCTCACAGAGGGCTGGGAGGATGAGATCATCTTCTCCCCAGACGCTCGCTCGCTTGAGATGAGATCACAGTGGCCAGGTTGCTGCCTGTCCCCGCCCCAGCCACAGCAGTGGTGAGTGGACCCGGTGAGGCTGAGGCCCACCGGCTGCCCTTATGGGGCAGAGCACTTCCTGGCCAGGGCAGCGGCTGGCAGGAGAGTCCTGCACTAGCTTGATACAAGGGTTCTGCACACCCCTCAGAGCTCCTGGGCACCTACAAGCAGCTTTTGTCTCCTGGGAAGCCTCTTCCTCCTATGCAGGACTCTGATCTCTGCCTTAGCAGCAGCCACAAGGGGGTGACAGTTCCTGAGCTTCTGCTCAGTGCCCAGCTGAATAATGCCCCTCACGCCTCCCTGAACAATGCCCCTCGCGCCTCCCTGTGAGCCGACACAAAGAAGCAGCAACTCAGAGCATAGTTCCACAGAGCAGCACAACCAGGCTGAGACATGAGCCCAGAGCCCACACCCAGCTCCTCTGCCTCGCCAGGAACCCCATGTGCACTTTGAAGGCCTGACAAGAACTGGATCTAGCTAGGAGCCCCCCAGACCTTCCAGAGTCAGCAGAAGCTACTGCTCTATCCCAATGCCCCCTCCACATCATGTTCAGCAAGACGGAGAATGAATTCGTTTCAAAGACCACCCACCTATGTCCCCTTTCCCGCCCCCACCTGACCACCCCCCCCCCCAACTCCAGATCAAGTATTTAAATGTTCAGATCAGACATTTAAAACCAAGTGTCCAATGGGGGCTGGAGCAAAAGCACAGCGGGCATGGGGTTTGCCTTGCCCGCGACTGACCTGGATTCAATCCCCAGCATTCTATATGGTCCCCTGAGCACCACCAGGATTAATTCCTGAGTGCAGGCCAGTAGTAACCCCTGTGCATGGCTGGGTGTGACCCAAAGAGCAAAAAAAAAAAAAAAAAAAACCAAGTGTTGGAGCCAGAGTGATAGGACAGTGGTTACGGTATTTGCCTTGCAATGCAGCTGATCCAGGTTCAGTCCCTGGCACCCCATATGGCCCTAGAGCCCACATGGGAGTGATGTCTGGTACTGGTGTGATGGGGTTGAGATCTGAGGTCAGGTAAACCATACACATGGAATTTAATTATGGCTGATTGTAAAGTTTGGCGCTATGAGTAACTATGTAAATTATAGTACCTCAATAAAAAAAATATTTAGCACTGTAGCACTGTCCTCCCATTGTTCATCTATTTGCTCGAGTGGGCCCAGTAGTGAGACTTGTTGTTACTGCATTTGGCATATCAAATACGTCACAGAGAGCTTGCCAGGCTTTGCCATGCAGGCGAGAAACTCTCCGTAGCTTGCTGTCTCTCCAAGAGGGGCGGTGGAATAGGACCTGGGCCAACCGGGTCGGCTGCATGCAAGGCAAACGCCCTACCTGCTGTGCTATAAAAAAAAATTTTTTTTAATTTAAAAAAAATTAAAAAACCATCAAATTTGGCGGGGGGAAAGTGAAAATGTAGAGTTCAGGAGCTGGGCAAATAGCCTAGTGGGCAAGGCGCCTGCCTTGGATGCAGCTGGCCTGGGTTTGATCCCCAACACCCCATGTGGTCCCCTGAGCCCTTCTAGGAGCAGTCCCTGGGTGCGGGGAAGGAATGAGCCCTGAGCCCTGCTGGGTGTGGCCCCCAAAACTAATAACAACAACAAGTCTTAAAATGATTTCTAAATCAAGTTGCTATCAACTTAGAATCGATTATGCTACTCACAGGATGCCACATGTGAGCTCCTGGCAAACATAAAGCCAAAAACAGACAAACCCAAACATACAGGAACGTGAACACTGCGCCTCAGAGGCAAGGAAACAAGTACCACGCAGGGTCCAGGACCTGACACGCGTGACCTGACCGGATACGCAGGGACTCAGGGACCTGCTCAAAAAAAGGGGCGAAATGGATGGGAAAACAGGGCTGAGCCCAGAGCGAAGCCCTCCCTGAGGTTGAGTCCTGTGCCTGTGGGAGGCCCAGGTTGGACCCTCCGCCCCCACCCCGCACCACCATGGCCCATCAGGTCATGGCCCAGAGCACAGAGCTGGGAGTAGCCACCAGGACCGGGGGAGGCCCACTCAAAAAAAAAACCCACGAGAAAACCAGGCCCATGATGAGTTTGCCAAAGAAATCCACGGCCACAGCCGAGACTGAGGCTGAGAAGACCCAGGTGAGCACCAACCTCAAACAGGCTGGGGGACACTTCACTTCACGGCAGGCAAGATGCACTGGAGGCAAAAAACACAGAGGAGCCGGGAATATATTTAAAATATATATTTTATTAAAAAAAAAGTCTCTCTGACAGCTCCAGTGGTGGAACATATGCCAAGCCTGTGGAAGGCCCTTAGTTCCATCCCAAGGTTCCTAACAGCACTCAAGCACCATCAGCAGTGGCCCTGAGCCCCCCAAATGCTGACAAGCCCACATCACAGGGCTGACCGGTCCAAGGACCTTTCCAGTGGCCCCTATAGAAATGGGACGAGCAAGCCTCTCCTGAAGCCACCCACTACCCCAGACAAAGTGATGGTTTAAGTAACGATAACGGTTATTGTGACAGTGCCGTTATCATGTCAACAATATCCCAGCAGCAGCCTGGCACCTTGGGCAGAGGTGACCTCCATTGTCACTCATTGTCCCCCACTCCCAAATGAAGGTGCAGGGGTTTCTGCCTGGCCTTAGCCCTGGCCCGCACATAGTCCCCTGTCTTCCCAGTACGCCAATTGCTGAGTGTTCCCGAGGAGCATCTGACTTTTCTCCCACCTTCTCTACAATGCAATCCTAGGATGGATCCTCTGCTTCTGCCTCTCCCTTGAGTCCTGAAACTGGCTGAAACATTTCTTTTCCAGGCTGGAGGAAGCAACCACTTTCCCCTGTGGTTTGCCGGCTTCCTGGGGCCCCTCCAGTTCTTGGTACCACATTCTCCAGGACCACCTCCATTCAGAGATGCTTCAGCAGAACCAAGATGTACAGCCACCTTTCAAGAGCACAGGACACCATGCCTAGGCAGGGGTAGAGGCAGTGGCTGGACACTGAGTGGAGGTGTCCGGAGAGACCCAGCTGTCCACCACAGGGTAGGTGCTACCCACACAGGAAGGCCTCCTTCCTGTCAGGAGGTACAGACCCAGGGAAAGCGAGCACAGGATGGGGAGACACATACAGGGTTGGAGCAAACACTGCATGCTCAGCCCATCCAATAGTCCTGAGCACCAGGATGGAAGCAGCCCCCAAGTACTGCCCCAACAACAACAAAACAAATGAATGAAGGGTTCTCCTGTACAGACAACTTCAAGCTGATATCAGGTCTGATGCCCAGTGTTTCACACTCCTTCGCGGTGGAAGAGCCGGATCAAGCCACAAGTGTACAATCACACACTGTCATTTTTCTTCCAGCTTCAACCAACTCAGTGGAGCTCAAAATAAGCTTTCCCATCATGCAGACACAAAGGCCCTGAGGAGGAGAGGGCCTTTCAGAACTCAGATCTCCTGGCAGCTCTTGCAGAACCAATGTATTGAGACAGCGGGGGCTGGGGATCAGAAAGCAGAGACAGTATATGGAGGTTGGACCCCAACCTGTGAGACAAGGTCACCCCAAACCACCTTGTGAACACCACTGTTTCCCCATGACCTAGCTAAGACACAGAGCCATGGTGCATGAGTCAGTTCTTAGCTGAATCTCCAGCAGACATGTTTATTCTGAATGACCTATTCTCACTGGGTCATCTTCTATGGCTCTGTTGCCATGGTGCCCATGTTCCTCTCCCCACCAGCAGCAGTGGTGTCATCTGGGGTGCAGATGGATGGGATGCCTTGGTGAGAAGGTGCAGAAATGTTCTCTGGGTCTGACCAACCAGCATTTACCCAGGAACCCTGGCCACGTTACAGCAACCCTCGCTGCAGACTCAGCTTCAGATACGGTCAGTTGATCCACTCAGAACATACATAGAGAATAAAGAGGGAGTTTCATTCCAATCACTCCACTACCTTCATGGAGCCCATGGCTTGGAAGGTCACAGCTAGTCGTGTAGGGGTCAGCGCTGCCAGCATCGCATTGAATCTTACACTCGTGTTCTTAATCGGAGAATGGTACTGCCCATCTGGAGTCACAGAACCGAACCTGGAATGGGGAGTGGTGGGGTTCACAGAAAAAAAAAAGGAAAAGGAAAAGGAAGCATGAAGTCAGTCAGACAGGTCCTATCTATACACATCTGTAAGTTACATCAGTACACACCTACAAGCCCCACGGCTTTCTGCATCCTTGAACCTCCCTCTGAGACAGCAACCTGTACTGGGGCTGGGCTTGCAGGCCAGCCCTATGTTGCCATAGATCTCACTCACACACCCTAAAATCTCCCTACTGGGGGCTGGAGCAATAGCACAGCAGGTAGTGCATTTGCCTTGCACTCGGTCGACCCGGGTTCGATTCCCAGCATCCCATATGATCCCCTGAGCACCGCCAGGAGTAATTCCTGAGTGCAGAGCCAGGAGTAAGCCCTGTGCATCACTGGGTGTGACACAAAAAGCAAAATGATAATAATAATAAAGAAGAAGCAGAGTGGGATGGAGGGTTGGGGGGTGGGAGGGATACTGGGACCCGTGGTGGTGGAAAATGGGCACTGGTGGAGGGATGGGTACTTGATCATTGTATAACTGAAACCCAAGCACAAAAATTTGTAAGTCTACAACTGTACCTCATGGTGTTTCACTAATAAAAATTAAAAAATAAAATAAAAAATAAAAAATAAAGTATAGTGTTCAATCACTTCTAGGATGCTCATAGTGTTTTATAACCATGAGCATCATCTAGTTGGGATACATGCCATCACCCTATAAAGAAGTCCCTTGCCACTAGCACTATTCCCCTACCCTCCAGTTCAGGAAGCATTTATCTACTTTTTCTCACTATTGATCTGTCTGTTCTGGACATTTCACATAAAATAGTATCACAACCAATAGGAGCCTTTTGTGCCTGGCTTCTTTCACTAAGCACATTGCTTTCAAAGTTTTCAAATGTTGTTGCATGCATTCGTATTTTATTCCTTTTCCTGGCCAAATGGTAGTCTCTAGTTTGGATATGTTACCTTTGCTTATCCATTCACCATTTGGTGGATATTTGGGTTGTTTCCATTCTTTTGGATATTATCAATAATTATGCTCTGAGCATTTATTTTCAGTGACATGTATTTTATTGCCTAGTGGACAATATGTGCATGATACCTAGGAGTAGAACTGCTAGATGATATAAAAACTTTAAACTTTTAAAGAACTTCCAAACTCTATTACCAACTGAGAACACTGCTTTACAATCCCACCAGCAATGAACAAAGGTACTAATTTCTCACATCCTCACCCACATTTGCTACCTCTAGTCTCTTGTTTTCTAGCTAAGTAAGTTTAACGTGATGTTTCATTTGCAGCTTGGCCTGGAATTGACATATCTCAATGATGTAACTGCAATTATTTTTCATTGGTATATCTTCTTTAGAAAAATGTCTATACAAATGTTTCCCCATTTTATAATGTTTTGGTTTTTTACTTTTGTTTTTCACTTTTGAACTGTGATGGTTTCTTTTATATTCTAGACACTAAATCCTTATGTTATCTATAAATGTGTTCTCCCATTACTTGTATTGCCTTTTCAGCATTTTCTGTAATCTTCTTCAAAGCACAAAAATATTTTTTTTAAATTTCAATGAGGTTTCAACCTATTTTCCCCCTCTGTTTGCTGGGCTACTCGTGTCACATCAAACTATAAATCATTATTACATCAAGGTCACACAGACTTAAACTTATGTTTTCCTCTGTGTATTTTAGAGTTTCAGCTCTTAAGTTTTGATTTGTCATTCATTAGGTAGATTCTTGTAAATAGTACAAAGTAGAGTAGAATTTTGTGCTTCTGCCTTCAGATATTCACTTGTCTCAGCACCATTTGTTAAAAAGACCATTCTTCGTCTATTAAATTGTCTGGACACCCTTAATGCATTGGTATTGGGGGAATGGAGGAGCAGCCCATTTGTGGGGGCCTTCCGTCTTGCACAGGTCCCAAGCGAATGATGCTGATGAGTGGTGTGGAAATATATAGGCACTTCTTGGGAGTGTTGGTGGTCCTGAGACTTGCTGCCACAGACACTGGCAGCTCCCAAGGGCTCTGAGGGCTTTTGCACCCATCAGAATAACAGCAAAGATGCTCTTGTTTTAAACAGGAAAAAAAAAACAGTTTTCCAGTGTATTTACTAGCTATGCACAGGGAGGCAAAGTAAGCAAACAGAATGTGATATATCTGAAATTTGCTTCCTACGTATTTTCTTAAACTTTTGGAATCTAAGACACTTATCTGTTAACAAGAACTTACCAGAAATCTAAAGAAGAAAAGTGTGAAAAGTGACTCTAAGAAAGCAAAGAGCTGAGCTGAGTGTGTGGGATCTGGCTGCCTGCTTTTCACAGACTTAAAGATGTTTTCGCAGACTTAAAGATGTATTCGCGGCCGCGCGACATCTTATCAGGACATCTTTTATGACATCTTATCATCTCATTCCTACTTTGGACAAACTTGCAGGCTATCAAATTTAGCCTGCCCACAGGGCAGAGTCTGGCAAACTCCCCGTGGCGTACCAAATATGCCAAATACCAGTAACAATGATGGGTCTCATTCTCCTAAAGAGCCTTGAATATAATCTCAGGGTTAGGATGAAAGAGACGTTACTGGGGCCTGCTCGAGGCAATCGACGAATAACAGGATGATAAAATAAAAATGAAAATGAAAGATGGTTTGGGTGTCCATTGGATACAAGAAACACTTCTGAGAAGGTTAAAGGTAATTCACACATCTTAGCCTCTGTAAAGAACTTTGTGAATCCCTGGAGTACCAGCCCTAGAATGCAGCCGAAGAAGCCACCTGCACCTCAGTGTTAACACACCTTTCCCTCATTGATGGATGCTAGGAAATGACGCTAAGCACCTCTGACACCACCTCTGCTCATAGCATTGGTTATTACAGCTCTGAAGCTGAAAAGTGGTTATTTATCACCCACAAAAAAGGCAATGACACTATAACTGGCTTATAATAGAAAAAAGTAATTAAACACCCCCAAAATCCTTTAATAACTGATTAATTAGATAAGTTACAGAACCTTATTTAATAGCCTCTTATGGAATAATAAAAATGACAATGCATGTGAAAGTTGTTGTATAGAAACATTTGACACATAATGCTAAACAGAAATCATAAGCTACAAAAAAACCCAAAATTTATAAGAAGATCTCAGTAAAAACCAAAGACATCTCTTTCTTTAGACAGATAATCATGGAGGCCACAGCGATAGTAGAGGAGTTAAAGCACTTTCCTTGCATGAAATCAATTCTGGTTTGATCCCCAGATATGATCAGGAGTGACTGACCCTGAGCAGAGCCAGGAGTAATCCCTGAGCTTGGCTGGGCTTGGCCATAAACACACACCCAAAAAATAAATAAATAAATAAATAGAAATATCATCATAAGAAACATCTAGCATTATTCATTAAAATGTAACCACACATTTGTATGGGTAATAGTGTTTGAAGAATAAAATTTCTGGCTACTATATACATCTCGACATTTCCAATGAGTTGCTCATAAACTCAAAGAAGTGGTTGGCAGGAGGAGCTTGGACACACAGTCACGAGAACTCAAAAACGAGTCCAGGTTGGAGAGCGGCGATATGGCTGAGATGGCAGTGATGGGGCAGTAAGATCACATTAAGATAACTGTGAGATTGCAGTGAGATCACTGTGAGATGTGAGACTGCAGTGAGGTCACTGTGAGATTGTAACAAGATTGCAGTGATGATGCAGCGAGATCTGTAAGGAGGCTGTTAGGTGGCAGTGAGGTCATTGTGAGGTCGTTGTGAGGTCTCTGTGAGATTGCAGTGAGACAGCAGTGAGGTCACTGTAAGGTTGCTGTGGGACTGCAGGGAGGCTGCAGTGAGACTGCAGGGAGACTGCAGGGAGACCCTGCAAGGAGACTGTGAAATGAATGTGAAATTGCAGTGAGATTGCCCTAAGTTTGCTGCAAGCTGAAAATCTGAGTGAAATGTAAAAGACTCACTTATCCAGCAGATTCTCCCTTGGTATCCGCACCTTGTCAAATATTAAAATCCCATTATCCACACCATGCAAACCTGGAAAAAGGAAAAAAAATGAAGCTGCAACGGACAGATCCTTTCACATCAAAACTCAGCTTCCTGCTCCTTTCTAGGCCTGGCTTTTGCCAGTGCCTTCTATCTAAGGGATCCAGTGCAGATGCCTTTCATTGGTTCATTGGTTTCACTGAAGACTTGTGATTTCTAAGACTTATGATCTCTAAAACTTAGGTGAAAATCTGGTGAGGAGAAACAGGTGTTTCTCCTTCCCCAAGCAGTTACTGGGACCATTAAAGGAGAAGTTCTAGGCAACTGGAAAAGCACAGAAAAGACAAGAAAGCCGGCAACTCTCTCAATAACACTAAACTCAGATTTCTCCTGCTGTTTGTTCCTCCTCAACACCTGGGCTGACTTAGTGAAAGCAAATGCCTACAAGAAAAAGGGAAAAGACAGAATGGAGCTGGGGGCGGCAGGGGTGGGGGGGCGGTATGGAGGTAGGGCTAAGGGGGAATTGGAGTTAGGGGTGACCAACACCCTGGCAGGTTCCTGAAATTTGCCAGACCTATTTTTTCAAAGTCACCTGACAGGGCCGATGTCTACTTTCTCTTCATGTGATTCTCCAGGAGATTTCATCTTCATTTAGTACAAGTCTTTATTTAGAACATCAGCCCTTGACAAGGACACTCGTGCACTTGGGAATTTACAAGGAAACCAGAGCAGACTTTCTGAAGCTGCCAGTGTTTTAAATACCTGGCACCACTTCACAGGAACAGGGTCCACCCCTCAGTACTCAGCCACACTTGACATGTGAGGTGCTTTCAAGAGGCCAGAGCCAGCGAGGGTCAGATATTTAAAGTACTTGCTTGATGACTTGTAGCCAAAGTGGCCAACAAATGCTCAGGAGCAAGGGTGACATGAACCCTTCTGTCCAAGGACCATCTTCTTCCCCTACTCTTCTCCTATTTTTTCTCTCTTCTTTTTCCTTCTCTACTACTTGTTTCTTTGACTTGGTCTGGCCTTAACTGAGATAATCAATGGAGACCGCTAGACAAAGTCGTTCCCACCCAATATTATCCCTCTACATTATATGTTCCCTAAATTTCTCCATCTCCATCCTAATTCCCCATAGCAGTGAATGTGACATTATTTGGAGACTGGACCTTTATAGAGGTCAAGCAAAACTGAGGTCAGTAGGGAGGACCCTACTCCATTATGATGTCCTTATTAAAAGGGGATATTTGAACAGATTTGTGCATAAAGGGAGAAGACCAAGTGAACACGAAGACAGCTACATGCAAGCTGAAAAGAGAAGGTTGGACAGACAGTCCCCTGCCACACCTTACGTTGGCTCTAGCTCCAGAACCTGGTCTCTGGTACCACAACAGCTCCAGCTATTAGGCGCAATACTAGATTGGTGGCTGAAGAGCAAGAACAACACATAACTTCAATGCCCTCTGAGAGGGAGCCCACAAATTCAAGAAGGAGAAAAGGAGGACAAATCACTCAGGGTAAAAAGCTGTCCCAAATCACGCAGAAGAAAAAAGCTTCTGGGAATATAAGCAGCAGGGAGACTATGAAACTAATGCCTGTTCATCAAAGGCAACTGCAACATTTCCTACAGCTCTGCACAAAAGACTCTCATCAGACTGCAGAATCAGTCTTGTCTGGGCTGTTTCAATGCCTCCACTGCTTAGATGGGGCAGGTTAGCTTCTCGCTGGGTGGGGTGGAGAGCAGCCAGAAGCACAAACAAGGGTAGGAGAGGCATTACCTGCAGACTCACCTTCTTTGTGCAGCATATCAATCGCTGTCACTCCTGGGTACAAGTTCCCATTTTCATCCCGGATGGGAACAATGAAACAGTGTGGCCCTAAAGAAGGTGAAGTGATAGTTACTCCTTTCTAAAACAGAAAGAAGATTTAAACGGGATGCATTTCCTGAAACAACACAAAATGAGTCTGATCCTGAAACTTGCTCTGTTCTACTCTTGCACTGCACAGAATAGTGTAGAATGTCAAAAGGCAATGAAAAGTTTTATCACTCTGGATATTTAGGAGATAAGCTATTTTTTACAAGATAAAAAAAAAGCACATCCATAAAATGGGTTTTGAGTATAAAGTACTCACTGAAAATAGTAATAGTAAAGAGACTTTCTCTAGGTTTCTGTGACTGTGACAAACCTTGAGATTTTCCATTTATGATGAGCTGAGCAAAGACGGCTGCGTAATTCCCATACATTGCATTTCCTATGTACATCTTCTGGGCATTTTCACACGGTGTGTCAATGATGAACTCCTATACAGAAACAGCATAGTGACATGGTTTTCTCTATGTATCATTTCATGTACTTGACTCAAAGCAATATCAATGAACACAGTGAAATAAATCCACAGTTTGTAGCATGGTCCACTCATGGTGGACCACAGCTGAACAGACAACCCACAATTCAACTGTGGGAGGTCAGCACCACTATAGTATCATCTCATTTGCCTATACTTTTAACTTTTCCAGAGAATGGGAAGTCCAAGGACTGGCCAATAAACTATACAATCAGGAAAATGAGTTGCCAATTTTCAGTGAACGAAAGCTATTGGTTAACCCCTTCCTGTCCCTTCTTATTTGTTGCATTGGGCTATTTGACTGAGACTATTAGCATCAATGCATAAAATTGTGGATGATCAATTTCTTTGTCTCTAGACTACTTCACACATTGACTTGTAATTAACCCAGATGCTAAAATAATAAAGCCCCTAAATGCCATTGATGATATATAGTCAATTCTACACACACACACACACACACACACACACACACACACACACACACACACACACCTTCATGCTAAGTAATGAGATAACCAATGATCTGGGGCCCCTTGCTAATGAGTCCACATCTTTGTAACTACTATGTCTGCTGGGTTCAGCCCATCTGAACAATCTTCTGGGTCCTCATGCCCTCCCCGTTATTGTATCAAACTCCATGACATCAAACCCCTGCCTCCGTGGTTTGGTTCTGTTGTTTAAACACTACCCAACTAACTCAGAGTTAATACTGCAGGCTTGGTAGCGAGCAAGGCTACCATGACCAATTTCCACCATCTCAGCTCACACATTTTGATTTTTGTAAAGTCTTTGTATTGTTTCTGAACCTGTTTCTGAACCTACCTCTTTATTTTCCCATCAATGCAAATTTTCCCAGAAACTTGTGTTTGTGTCTCTCTCTCTCTCTCTCTCTCTCCTTAAATAACAGAACTAATCAATAATCCTCTATTATAAGGAAGAGGATCTTACAGTATGTCGTATAGTTTGTGAACATTATATGACCAAGAACTCCAGCTCAAAACAGTGTGAAGCTAACATTGGTCAAGAAGAACAGATGCTGTTTTCAATCTCTGCTCAAATCTGGTCTGTTTTTCCTTCCTCCCTGGAAGACACTCCAGACCATAACAGAAATGTTCTCCTTCTCCTCCTCCTTCTCCCAAATTCTGCTGACCACCTGAATTACCTTTAGATCTCTGGTGAAGCAGGGGCTGCCAGCAGGTCAGGAGGTGCAGAGAAAATGGCAGAAAAAGGGAACCACCAGTTTAATTGGAGCTGACAATATCGAAGATGTGGCAGAACTAAACCAACAAGCTATTGATCTTGTAAAGATTATCTCAAATTTCAGATTTTAAAGTGTATAGACTCTACTTTCCCTCTGGCCAAGAAATACAATCTTGAAGCCTAAGAAAACACTCTCTGACATATGTTTGCACAAGGGAACTTTGGACATGTGCAAGGGCTTTCCATAAATGGACAAGCTAATCTTTTTAGGAGAATTCTCTGGAGGCAGCCCTTGTCTTATCAGGCCAGCCAGGACTGCTCAAAGAAAGGAGTTCTTTGAGGCTAGGTGCAGTCAAACAACAACAGTGAAACAACCCATGAGGCAAGAGGATGCAAAGCCCTCACAGGAAGGAAGAGAAGTAGCAAAGAAACATTGGCAGAGCTGAACGAGCAAAGGGGGTGGGGAGGAGATGGGAGGCCAGGGGTCTCCATAAACATCTGATACACTTCGAGAAAGGAGGTTTGTCACTTCTGGCAAAAACACTTGAGTTGGAACATTTGCATCAGCCCAACTGCTGGCGTTAAAACTGGATCTAAATAATGCACACCATGTGTGTCAGTTCCCATTATAACTATTTGTAGAAGGCCAGCAAGAGGGTCAGTGCTGTAAGCCCTGAAAAAAGATGGCTTTGGCCAGAGAGCTTGAAGCCACATTTCTTGTTGCTATTTAACATACAGTGTAAAATTCAAACTCTCTTTGACCTCTAGGCATCCAGAGCACAACTCAAGCCTTCCTCCAAAAATAAAAGCAAAACACCCAACCCACAGAAAGGAATAGCTCCGAAACGTTCAAGCTGGAAATAGTCCTTGAGGGAGAGAGGGCTCATTTGATATGCTCAACATTTTAAAAGGGAAATGAAGGGGAAAACACACTAGGCAGTGAAGGAGAAATCCATTCCCTGCTCTGTCAGTCCTCAGTGGCTGGAGTTTATGATGGGCTCAGAGGGGAGGGGAAGCAGGCACCAGAGTCTCCTCATCATTATGGTTTCAGCCCAGCAACCCCCTGCAGAAAACAGCAGCTGCTGAGACGCAGGTAGAGAAATCATTTATGCTGTTTGGGGAAAATGGGACCAACACAGAAACTGATTTGGGGTAATAATTGCAAGAAAAAACAAACAAATAAGAATTGAGGCTGAGGTTTTCTCCCTCTAATGACAGCAAAGTGACCTTGATTCCATCAAATCATGAGAGAAAAATGAGTCAACTCACAGCAAATAGGGGTAATTGGTGGGTTACTAACCTGAGTTCAGGCCCACTTACATACATCACTGGCCAGAGTCAGTTTCCCCTTCCTACTTCCTTCCTCCCTCCCTCCCTCCCTCCCTCCCTCCCTCCCTTCCTTCCTTCCTTCCTTCCTTCCTTCCATCTTTCCTTCCTTCCTTATTTTTTTCCTTTCTTTCTTCCTTCCTTCTTTTCATCCTTTCTTCCCCCCTCCCAGACTGCCTTCCTTCCTTTCTTCCTTACTCCCTTTTTTTCTTCCATACTTTCTTCTTTTCTGCTACCAGGGATTCAACCCAGGACCTCATACATTAAAAAGCATGTGTTCTATCACTGAGCTATATCCCCAGACCCACAGTCATATTTTAACTTCTGTGAGTCTCAGTTTCATTCCTGTAAAATAGGAACAATAATAACTTTCCAGGGCTGGAGAGATAGTACAGAGAGTAGGTGGCTTGATTTAAACACAGTCAATCTTGGTTCAACCCCCTAAACCCTGCCAGGAGTGATCCCTAAGCACAAAGGCAGATGTAATCCCTGATCACTGCTGAGTATGAACCCAAAACCAAAAAATAAGAAGAGAAACTCCCAAGAAGATTAGCAAATACTCTACACAATCCTCTAGGTAGAGTACCTTGGCTGGTACCTAACACATATGTGCTCAATTAACAGAAGCAGGTAAACACTATGGGGTTTAAGGAACTGTTAAAAGGGGACACAGTTTACTAGGGAGTAGGAGTACACATGGAGCCCTTCCCGGAAGAGCATTCATTCAGTAAGGGATAGTCCTTCCTCTTGTTCTCACCATGATTTGAGATATCACTGGACAACAGAGAACTGAGGGAAGCAGGCCTCTCGCTAACACAACAATAGCCTCAATCTGTCATTCTAAACACAGACTCCCTCCAACTAGCATCCATGGGTCAAGAAAGCCTGATGACATAAATTCAGATTTGGCAAAAATGAAGGGTAGACCTGATAGCCATATCCATCCTCATACATGTGATTGTGTGCATAAAATTATACAAACTCCTTTCTAGAAAGAATTTCACACTTTATCTATGACTATCCAACATGAAAGGAGAAATGAAAAGGAGAATGAAATAAGGGCATTAGTTTCTTTTTGAGGGAAGAGGGGAGAGTTAGAATTGGGAGAGGGATTTACAGATTTACATGGATTCTATACTGCAGGTTGTGACCCATAATTGGAGAAAAAGTTCAGTTTACAGGATCTTGACCAACATGTTTTTTTTTGGGGGGGGGGGGGGGTCACACCCGGCATTGCACAGAAAGTTACTCCTGGCTCATGCATTCAGGAATTACTCCTGGCGATGCTCAGGGGACCATATGGGATGCTGGGAATCGAACCCAAGTCAGCTGCGTGCTCTATCTGCTGTGCTATCGCTCCAGCCCTTTGACCAACATTTGGAGCGATAGCACAGCGGTAGGGCATTCGCCTTACAAGCAGCCAACATGGCCGACCCGAGTTCGATTCCTCCGCCCCTCTCGGAGAGCCCGGCAAGCTACCGAGAGTATTCGATATGCCAAACACAGTAACAACAAAGTCTCCAATGGAGATGTTACTGGGCCCGCTCAAGCAAATCGACGATCAACGGGAGGGCCTTTACCTTTACCTTTAAGAAGAGAAAGGAAAGTATTCCAATTTATCACATGTAGAAAAGAGAGTAAGAGTATGATTTATTGATGACACTTTCAGATGTCATGTGGATTTATTTGGATTCAGGTGAGGGCAAGTAAACTGGGATTAAGGAAGTTTCACAGGGGTTAAGGAAGCCCAGCATAATCTGTTCAAAGGAGAACTCCAACAAAGACATCTTTTCCCATTGTTTATCTGCTACTGCTAGGAAAGACAACAAAACAGCTTCAGTTCTGTCCCCACAGAGTGTCAACAAAGAGCCAAATTCAGGAATGCACATAAGTTCTGGGCACAGTGCCTGGCACACAGTGGGTGCTGCTCACGTGTTGGCTGGGATTTGATGTGTCAGAACTGAACACACATCCCCTCCATTAAAACCATCAGATGTTCTGAAATTCAGTTCTACAATCCCAGAGACCACACAGAGGGGGCACTGGGACTTGGAGGGAAAAGTCTGATTCTGTAAGGTGGCCTGCCTTCTGGAACTACAGAACAGGGAGACAGCAGCCTTACCTGTGCAGAGAGGTCAAACGTGGCCTTGGTCTGGATCCCCCTCACATTGCTCCCGTGGCCCTTCTCGGTCATTGCAAACATCCCAGTGTACTTCTGCTCCTGGAGTTTAGCAGATGGTAGAAGGGAATTAGCAAGTCTGATGGTTGCTTGGCAGTTTCCCTTGGAGGGGAGCGGGTTGAGCTTTCCTCCCCGCCCCGACCAGGGCTCCGGCAGCCGAAGACCTCCAGGACCAGCCACCACCATGCTGAGACCAATCTCTGCACGCCTGAAGGTACGGGCAGAGGAACAAAGGCAAGCGGGTCCCAGGGCTGAGATCTCCAAGCCTACTCGGATCGGGGCTGAGCATCCTCCACCCAGATCCTCCAAATTCCAGTAAGCGGGGGTCACACCCACCAACTGGCCCCCTGGTACCGTGTAATCCCATCAACCGCCAAGACTCAGAGACTATAAAAACCAGCTCCCGGAACCGCATGGCTGCATTCGCGGCCGTGCGACATCTTATTATGACGTCTTATTATCTCATTCCTACTTTGGACAAACTGGCAGGCTACCGAATGTAACCTGCCCACACACCCACACAGCAGAGTCTGGCAAACTCCCCGTGGCATGCCCAATATGCCAAATACCAGTAACAATGATGGGTCTCATTCTCCTAAAGAGCCTTGAATATAGCACTTTCTTAAAAATCTCAGGGCTAGGATGAAGGAGACGTTACTGGGGCCTGCTCGAGGCAATCGACAAATAACAGGATGGTTGTGATTCGTGATTCGTGATGGTTTCTTCAACTATAATGATTGGAAGATCATCATAAAAATTCAGGCTAGTAACAGCTAATACAATAACAATGCAGCAGACCCACTCTGTAGCACTGTAGCACTGTCCTCCTGTTGTTCATCAAGTTGCTCGAGCAGGTCCAGTAACATTTTTATTGTGAGACTTGTTGTTACTGTGTTTGGCATATCGAATACATCACAGTAGCTTGCCAGACTTTGCCATGCAGGCGAGATACTCTCAGTAGCCTTCCAGGCTCTCCGAGAGGGGCGGAGGAATGAACCCAGCTCGGCCAGGCCAGCCACACACAAGGCAAACGCCCTACTGCTGTGCTATCACTCCAGCCCCACTCTGTCATTAAAAAATTACATCATCTTGAAATTCTCATTCTGCACAAACTGTGATACTGATTCTTCTATTTCTACTTTATTTTCCTGTGCACACACACACTCCTAACACACATATACACACATACATGCATGCACACACACACAAATACACACAGCTAATATGAATTGTTAAAGATTTCAACAGAAAAAGATATCTATTGAGATATATGTTATACTACATCATACCTGCAATGGCTGAAGCCACTTAGTTACATGTGCTTGGCTTCCAAGATTCCTGATGGCACCCCCAAAGAGCCAATAAATTATTCCACACTGGAAACAAGAATAATAAAGACCATAGTTATCAACAGTTAACAGTAACAACTCAATGCATTCATCAAACTCCATTTAAGGAGAACATCAGTTCAGCCCCTCCAGTTCTATACAAGCCACACAAGTAGCGAAGTGGTCTTCCCTTTGCTACCTGCCAAGTCCCAGTTCCCCTCTACAGACGTGGCTCACTGTTCACTCTTTCAAAGTGGGCACTCAACAGTCCAGAGACTCAGTCCTACAGCCTCACCGCTGCTTGGCTCTCATCTCAGGTGACTGTTCCAAATTTCCACTCTGCCTTGTCTGCATGGGGGTGCTATGACCAAGAGTGCGTGTGGTGAGCACATGTGTGGCGTTGAGTCCCGGCAGAAGAAACAGAAAGGCTGAGGGCAGAGATGATGCAGCACAGAGCAGGTGCACAGCTCAGGATAACGCTGCCTGGGATCTAATACCTATCCAACTAATACAGCTGCCTACCCACTGGCCAGAGGACCTTGGACAAATAAGAGTTGCCTCCATGATTCCATCTGACAAATGGAAAGAATGAAGAGCACCCCCCGATTTACTGTGCTCCCTCTTCCAGGCCCAAGCTCCCAACACCCAGCTGACTGATGCTCAGAATAATCCCAGAAGAAAAACCTCACACATACTGAACATATAAGGGCACTAAGGTTCAAAGAGGAAAGTGGGCAGTTCATGGGTGCGCCTGAAGAAGGGGGCAGGTGTGTTAAATTCAGGCTGCCTAATGTCCAAACACAATGATGAGGTTTTAGTGAGGGTTTGGTGAGGATCAGATGCCAAGTACTTTGGTCTTTGTTTTTTTTTCTGGTTTGGGGGCCATACCTATCAGTGCTCAGTGTTTACTCCAGTCTCTGAACTCAGGGATCATTCCCAATGGGGACCATATGGGGTGCCAGGGATCAAACCTGCAGGGGAACATATGGGGTGCTGGGGATCAGACAGGTTAGCTGCATGTAAGACATGTGCCTTTCCCAGTGGACAACCTCACTTTGGTCTTTTGTGCCATATAAGTGTTGCTGAGGAAGACAGACAGCTGGAGCAGAGCCATTCATAGTGAGCAGAAGGCTACAAAGAAGGAGATCTCAGGAGCACAGACCTCCACAATAACTTCAGGCCAGCCTCCCAGCCCCAAATGTGCCACACAGTCCCTGGTTCCCTCTGGGGAGTCCTTCTCCCCAGTCCAAGTGTTTTGTAGCTGATGCTGTCCTCCCCCCCCCCCCACACACACACAGACTCCCAACTTTATGAGGCACCTGGGACCCAGGGAATGGCCAGTCTGCAGAATCTGAAGGCCAAGGGATGACTTCATGGTGGACCTGTGAGCTAGGGCAGGCTTGCAGCCCTTTGCTGGTGAGCTGGCAGGGAAGTGACGAGGAAGAGAAGCTCCCGTGTGAGACCTGGTTGCTGATGTTGCTCTTACCATAACAAGATCTAGAGATGAAGCCAACACCTGGAGTTAAGGTGTGCAGGTGCCAGAGTCTCGAGACGAGAGAGCCCAGGTACCACATAGCCCCACCTACAACCTGCTGTCCCTGGACTCACAGCACAGCTACCTATAGGTGCCTTCTGCTTAGGCAGGTCAAATTACCTTTCACTCTGAGGTCACTGCAGTTGAAGGGGCCCAGGGAAAACTGGAAGGGACATAGCAGGAATAGCATCTGCCACCCACGTTTTGAAATAATGAGTCCCTGTCATATCTGTGTGCAATGGGCAGGCAGTAAGTGCCAGAGAGGGGACATTACCACCTTCAACAGCACAGACTCGCCCAACAGCTTAGAGGTCACAGCTCTCTCAGGGACCAAAGAGTAGTACAGTGAGTAGGCCCTTGTATTACATGAAGTCGATCTGAGTTTTATCCCTGGCACCTTATGTGGTCCCCCAAGCTCCTGAACACAGAGTCAGGAATAAGTCCTGAGCACTGTTAATCCTCTCTGACAGAGGAAACACTTTCTATTGGAAAAATCAAAGTCTCCTCAGAGGGTGCTTAATGCCCTGATTGCTCAACATCTTTCTCACAGAATTAGCCCCTTACTCTGTGCATTTCAAATCCCAGCCCAGGAATACGGAATCAGTCCAAAGAGTAATGTTCCCCCTAAACCAGCTTAGAAGTCAAATTAAAGAAAGACATTTTTCTTTCTTTTTTATTTATATTTTTAATTGAATCACTGTGAGAAACAGTTACAAAGTTTTCATGATCAGGTTTCAGTCATACAATGTTCCAATACCCACCCCTCCGCCAGTGTACATTTCCCACCACCAATAACCCCAGTATCCCTCCCACTCCCCAGCCTGTCTCTATGGCAGGCACTTTTATTTTTTGTCTGTCTGTCTGTCTGTCTCTCTCTCTCTCTCTCTCTCTCTCTCTCTCTCTCTCTCTCTCTCTCTCTCTCTCTCTCTCTCCTTTTGGGCATTATGGTTTGCAAAACAGATATTGAATAGTCATCATGTTTGGTCCTTTACCCTCTTTCAGCACACAACCATCCAGAGCGACTCCTTCCAACCTTCATTGTCATAGTGGTCCCTTCTCTATTCCACCTGCCGTCTCCCCCAAGCCCTGGGGGCAGTCTTCCTACCATGGAACAATCCTCCTGGCCCTTGTTTCTATTGTCCTTGGGTGGTGTTAATTTCATACTATGTAGAAAGACATTTTTCTAAAACTAAAATTGGTTGAGCTTTTCCATTCCCTAAATATCTTTGACTGGTGGCTAAAGTGTGTTTAACAATATATCACCCTTCCAGGCTTGAATTCTATCCCCCATTTTAGAAATGAATGTGGGGGAAAATAGTCCCTGAAAGCCTCCATTCACCAATTACTGTTAGTAGGTACACAGAGTGGGTAGAACCAGTAGGTTTGCAGAATGAATGGCCGGGGTAAGTTCCGTGACCCCCCACCCCACTGGCACAGTTAGATGAAGGATGGGGGTCTTATGCCCTGTGTTGGCCAACGTGTTGCCAGTCACTGTATTGGCCCAAACAGGGCAGATGGGGATGTGGTATGGGGAAGGCTTTGAGGGAACTAAGCATGGGGTTGCCGGGATCACTTGAGGGGACTCTTTGGGGTCAGATGGACAGGATCAGTAGCTGCTATAGGAAGATCACAGGAGATGCTACGAAGTGGGGAACAGCCTACGGAAGGAAGGCTGCAGTCAAATGAAGAGAACAGTTATCATTATGGAGGACAGTACAAAGGTCCTCCCAGCGAGGGATGTGTTCACTGCTGCCAGCCCTGCACAGTGACCCCAGCCCATCCCAGGATAGGGTACACAGAGGAGAGCTGGGTCTAAAAGAGACAGAGAAAAGCAGGGGTAAGAAAGATGTGAGAGACTATACCAAGACTCCATCTTGAAACACGTGCCCACCTCATACATTTTGCTGAGTACAATGGCCTCTCTCTCCTGTAAATTTGCACATATGAGGAGCAAAAGAAGTGTGGGTAGGGGGCATGAGGCAACAGCACGCTCAAGGAGGGCCATGAAATGACCTCTGAACCTAAGGGTCAGAGGGAGAGCACTGTCTCCCAGTGGGCAGGAACAACTGGGGGCTGGAGTGGGAGGTACAGCACGATTTCACCTCAGTCCACAGACTGACCTGCTCCCTGACAAGCCCTGGGCCCTGTCTCCTGGGTACAGCCCCTCCATGACTGATGTCCACCTGCTATTTTCCAGGCACAGCGATGCTTCTCATGATGCTCTTCATGAGGGTCATCAAATTAAACTGACATAGCCAAGGAAGGGGCATGAGAGTAAAGTTTCATGGAAAGGAAAACTAAGTGCAAATGTATGAAAGAATGTTCCAGAATAGTGACAAGAAGTCAGTATATCTCCCTCCAGAGTGGGCCTGGGAGGTCTGTCTCATGGTCAGGCAGCCACCAGCACCACCACAGTCCTTTCCACACTATCTCACCAGGGTTCCTCTGAAGAATCTCCCTGAGTTTTCAGGTCTTTCCTTTGCTTTTTTTTTTTTAATTCCTCAGACATCTGTTCCCAGGTGAAACCTCTGGGGCTATCTCAGAGAGGAGCAGGCCAGCTCCCACTCAAAGTCCCAGAAGTCACTCTCACACCCCAAAGCTTCTGCCATGCCTCTGACAAGACCCATCTCAGGACAAAGCACCACAGAGACCCCTCAGGTTTTTTCTTTCTAAAAGCAAATAGGATTCACTTCAACATTGCCAGGGTTTTGTGTGTGTGTGTGTGTGTGTGTGTGTGTGTGTTTCTTTTTGAGACAATGGTGATCCCAGAAAGGAGTACCACAAACTGCAACCTTAATATGATGGTATTAGGCTGTGCATCTTTGAGGAGATCACTATCACTGTCCTCCCATTGTTCATCGATTTGCTCGAGCGGGTCCAGTAACGTCTCCATTGTGAGACTTGTTGTTACTGTGTCTGGCATATCGAATATGTCACAGGTAGCTAATTAGTTTTAAAGTTATAAGTGTGGGACTTTGTGATTGTGCCCTTATATAACATACCCGAGTGCTCTGTTCTCCCATCCCCTATCCGATCCTCCTTTCCCTTCCCTCTCCCCTCCCCAACTCTCCTCTCTTCTCTTCACCCCACCCAACTCTCTCTCTCTCATTCTCATTCTCCCCACTCCACCCATGCCATTGTGAGAGAAAAGAGACAGCCCTTTGCAAGATAATAAGTCAGACCCCACGAGGAACTAAGTTAGTTTGGCCATAGTCTTCCTTTCCAGAAATAGTTCTGTCCTCTAAGCCACCTGAGTAATAGTGCACTGTCATGGCATCCCAAGCGAAGAGAGACAGTAAGATAAGTCAAAGAAGGAAAGGGGGAGCAGTTCAGGAGGAGAAGAAGAGAAAGCACGTCATGTTTCCTTCAGCCTTCAAGTTTTCCTGCATTGCATTCAGATATCTGACAGAAGCCCTCAGTCTGGTGACCAAGCTCCAGAGGATGACTCAGGTCCATTCCTCTGCGGGCATCTCTCTCACATTCTGCCCCCGGCACATCATTGTCAGAAGTAGCA